TTTCACAGAGGAGGGTATGGAGCTCTTGGATCCTTCTAGGCAAGAGGTGGCTGGGTCAGAGGGACTTCTGCTCCAGGAGCTGGGGGATTCATATAAAGGACTGACAGACGTGCTTTTCCCATTGGCGTGACAATGGTCTATATGGAAGGAATTAAGGAATAATTTAATTATCTCTTTTCCTACTGTCTGCCAGTGACTCTGCTCAATTATGCAATGTGTCTGGGCTCCTCCTTACAGGAGCATTTTCATTCCATATCATTAACTTCTGCTGCTGCTTGGTCGTCAAATTATTATATGCTGGCTTTGCAAGTTATATTTCTGGGTTTTTCAGGGCAAAGGATTTCTGGCTGTGGAAACAAAACATCAGCAAGATGATAAGGATTGAGCAAGAGAAATGTTCACTTTGCATGATAAATCCTCATGCAGCCATTTCTTGTTGCCTTATAAAGATGTATCACTCAAGGTCTGTCTGCAAAAGTTTGTCTAAATAAGCCTCTTGACATAAATAAATCCATTAAAATCAGATTGGCATCATTGCAAAATTGCTGCAACTATAATAAAAATCAAGTCCCCTCTGTATTTTTATCTGTTTCTGTAAAGGGCATCCCAACTATACTCTCCGTGTCTTACAAATATTCATCCTTTTATCCTTGGATAAGGAAAGTTCTGGCTCCATTTCAAAAAGCAGCATGACTGGCAGAAAGAAAAAAGCTGAAGTCTAAGCAAGAAGTCTGGGAGAGAACTGGGACAGAAACTAGACTGTTTCTACTTTGTTTTCAGCTTCCTTCACCAATGCGGTAGGAATCTCTGAACTAAAATTTCATATGAACTCATAGTTTGCTAGATGAAAGCTGTATGAACAAAATCAAATAATCTTATTATTTTCTTCTGTGTTATATCTCAGAAGGAAATAAAGTTCTTTTATTGTCAGGGTGTGATTCCATTTCTCATAACAGACATTTCACCTCGGATGATCACTTTCATCAGTTTGCAGAAAACAATATTTTATGTTTTCTGCTTTGTCTGTACCTAATCTCCTAGCACTGAAAGAAAATGTGTTTCCAAGAGCATAGAAGCATTTAAGACCTGATGTGAATTCCACTGGAGTCAATCAGCCAGCATTTTAATGTTCAAAATAGGTAATCTCTCACTGAGAACTCATCTCAGGTTTTACTGATATATTTTCCATAAAGTTCCCAGATGAAGGCATTGGAATTGTAGACCTGTTTGACACTGCTTTTCAAAACTAGTGGTTATATGGTGGGGTTTTTTTTAAATCACTAGAATAAAAAAAGGGGGAAAAGTAATTTATGGTAGATAGGCTGCAAGACCAAAATTTTGCTCTCAAATTGAATTGTAGCTTCAATTTATTTTCCCAAAAGATACATCAAACTCAAGCAGTTAAGAGTACAAACCAAAACCCCTAAGTATAACGGTACAAGAACTTAGAGATGGTATGTATAACTCCCAGAACTAAAATAAATGACAGTAAAGGAAAATGGTGGGTCCTCCTGAGTTTCAGTGAGGTTAAAGGCCAGACCTTCCAGCACCTAGGCCTGGCTGGTGGCTCTGGAGCCCAGGGCCAGCAGGGCAAAAGCAGCAGAAATGCTGACCAGAGAGAAGAGAATGCTCTTACCAGGTTCTTGGCAGTCATGTACTTGTAAAACTGGAAGGAAAAGTCCATGTTACTTGGGACTATCCATTGGCAGGACCCAAAAGAATCTCCCCTGTGGGGGCACTGCTCCTGCGGCGCTTAGTTTTCTTATTCTGCTTGTGGCCACTGGACTGTTGACAGCCATGGACCACAGGCTCAAGTGCAGCAAAGGAGGAGCATTGCACGCTGTCATAGGTAAAGAAAAGTAAAGCCAATTCAAGGTTTCTTGATCTAATTGTAAATAGATTTCATATCTGGGTACCATGCCAGAAACAACTCCTAAATTCATCCATCTGGCCCTTTGAGAATTTCTATAGTTATTGCTTTATCAGGTTATAGCAACATTTGTCTTTCTGACCTGTCAGTAAAACCACTTCTAAAAAATTTTAGCAATCAAAAAAAAAATTAGTTTCCCTTTGGTCTGGCACTGTCTATGAGTACGAATCGATCACAGGGGATCTGGTTACATCTCCCTGATTCAGCACTAGTTTGGCAGTGGTGTTACTGCAGTCATGGTCTGCTTTATTTAATGTCACTGTCAGATTCGAGGAGTGGGGAGCTGTGCACTTCATCACCTCCATCTCTGCCTGCCTCTGCGCAGTCTCTGGAAGGAGAGCTACATGACATTGCCCTTGGATGCTGAGCTTTGCTCAACAGGGAGATCCAGCTGCCAAGGGAGACTCTCCAATGGCCTTTTTCTGCCAGCTCATTCCAGTCTGCAGTCAGGGCAGCACCTAGCAAGCAGCTTGCATAACCATCAAAAAAATGTCAGGTCCCTGAAGCAGTGACAGACTTCCTGGTTCATAACAAAACTCTTGGTTTCAATATTTTTAAGGAGGAAGGGGGACATGGGTGGTGGTCAGCGGCTATGCTTCCACAGTAAGTTGTATCCTATTTTAAACTACTTAAGTTCATTTATGTTACAATGTAATAGAATTAAACTTGCATATTTGATGCCTCATGATAGTTTCTATGTGCTCAGCTGTGAAGTGTTTCAGGTGTCTGCATCATCAGAGCGTTGCTGTATCACCTGAGGACTGGCACAAACCCTTAATAAGGAGCAGCCTATTGAAAATAAGCACGCACAGTTACTGTGACAGCAAATGCACAGGAGTGATCAGGAGGAACCACCAAAACACGTCCATGGCAAGTACACGGGAATCTTACAGTTTGTGACATGCAGTAGTTTTGAAGGGTGTTTCCTCAACTGCCTAACCTTACTCCACAGAAGGGCAAAGGGTCTCCAGTTCCCTCACTTTTGGGAATTAGCTGGTGAAGGCCTATCAGCATGACCTGGAACTTAGCGTGTTAAAAAAGGTAGATCCCCAGGAGAGGGGGAGCTTATAGGGCTGAATGACAGAGAGACAGTTTCCCACCTGTCAGTCAGTCACTCTGGCTCCGTTTGTACTGGTACATTGAGCAGTGCTGGGGCGCAGGCCTGGCCGTCAGCCTGCAGGTGCTCATATTCTTACGTTTTTAGAACAGTTTCAGACACAGGTATCGCTCATGTCGTATACGATTCTTCCAAACAAGTGCTAAGCATGTTTTTGGAGTTAGCACAGGCCAGGGGATATTCCCAATAAGCAGCCCAGATGTCTTGCAGGGTCAGAGTTAAGCAACATGGATATGAGCTGTGATGAGCCAGTTGACCTCATGGCTGGAGAACAGACCTTGGAGCACTTTATTTACTAGCATAGATGTAAACTCTGGGGATATAATTAATCTCAATGTTTGTTTTACCCATTCCAGGTATTCATACCCTATCCCTTCTGAACTTCTATTTGTTGATGAAACACAAGATTAAATCTATAAAGCAATGCCAGCAGCACTTTTTCGGTGTCTAGCCAACTAAAAGATTTCCCAGCTCTGATTTAGCCACTGCTTCCACATGGGATACTTGTGGAGAATTTGTTACCTTATAGGGAGACTCAAAGAAGCAAACACAATGTGGGTGGATGCTGTCAGCTGTGAATATTGTAAAGGAGAGTATGGCAAAAGACTTGACCTTCAAAGGAAGTGCCAAGGCCTGCTCTGAAAGTGATGGACTCCCCCAACATCTGATTTGTAGCTATGCCTTCCTTTTCGTAGAAGCCCTACCAATGTCACAAGATATCATTGTTTCATCCACCACGCACTCAACAGTGTAGTTTGCGGAGAATTTATTAGGTTTTATCTGCCAAACCCGTTCTCCATCCAGGGAAGGGCAGAGCTGGATTTCCATCTTCTAGGCAAATATCCTTACCAGCACTCCAGGTCCAATGCTAGCTCTCCTTTCACGGGTGTTAGCCTGACCGGCCTGGAGTTTAGGACATATGGGATGGTCTGCCTTCAGGAGAGGGAGGGGTCTGAACATGAATATTCCTGACCACCCTGTACCCAAGGCAAATGCTCTAACTGCACAGACTTGTGTGGGCAGTGGTCCTCATGACCCTATAGACTCAAACTTCTGATTTAAAAAATTAAACTCTTGATTGTCTAACCCAGTACATTTAAGGAAATTGAATGAGGTTCAACACACTGAGAATGGTTTGGGTTTTTTTTTAATCTAAGTCTACGCTGCTGTACCCCTGAGCAGTGTTAAATACATTTATCACTGTTAAACATCTGCTGTTGATCCCACAGGATGGAACAGGGAGGGAGTCAGGCACCACACCAGACTGGCTTTGTTTCTGTCGGCACACATCCCTTTTCTTGGTGCTCCAGACCCTTAAAAGCACCAAGCCTTGGCTCTGGATTTTGACACTGCCTTGGATCTATAAGGCTGTGTTAGGAGAGAGATGTCAAATTCGCACAGACATCCTCAGAGAGGGGAGCAATCATTTTCTCAAGGAAATACAACATGACATTTCTCCATCAATGACATCCATGTGGAGGAGAAGAACTAACATATCCCTGAGTCGACTGCATTTGTATTTTAAATTTCCACGTCAGCCCTCCAGCACCAGGACACGGTGAGAGCTGGCAGCAGCTGGAGCAAACCTCAGCATTTTCTTTCCTTCCTACCCACAAGTCAGGAGCAGCCTCTTTGTTTAATCTTTATTTACTCAAAATGCTTTAAACTGATTCTCTCAGTTGGATACTTACCTTGTTTTTCAAAGATGACATACACTGGTCATTAAAAGGTTGATTTATAAAATTCTTCATGATTCACTAATAGGTGTATCTCAGTGGTTTCTTTCTACTGGAGGAGGAAGCAAGAGCAGCGTTTTTAAGAATGACCGTGCTCTTGCCTCATTTCTTTGGAAAAGGAAAATGGTTAGTAACTTTTTTGATATAATTTTAATCACATTGAACTACAATTGCTGGAAGAATGCAATTCAAATCAATAAGACTCTCCACTGACCAGTCATTTTTCAGTTGGGTTTACAATTTTTCCCATGAAGAGGATGCTTTGAGTATATTGATCAACAATGAACAGCAAAAATGGACGATTGAATTTAACGACAGGAGGAACAGAATGAGGAAGAAAATCTGTGCTAGTGACTGCTGCAGCTTCTGTGCCGTTCTCGTGGATCTTCAGCAGGGCCTTGTGAGCAGCCTACAATGAAATACAGGAAGAATTAATGTACGTGGAGGACGGGGTGTGAAATGATTAAAATTAGCACTAATTTAATTCAGCTACTGCCTTTCACAGAAATTGCTGGTAGCCCAGGAACCGGGAAGAAGACCACTATAGCCCGTGGTGGTTTTTTTAGCAACGTTGTCTCAATGAGCAAGTGTTCTCACATTCAGAGTTCCTCAACACAAGTGTATCCAATGCAGACCTTAGAGACTGCACACCTTGTGGAAATAGTTAAAAGTAGAATATTCAAGCAAACTTACAAGGAATGAAAATTTCAGAGGGAAGGAAGCTGGGCTCCAGAACTGCTCTGTATGTATCTCTAATAGCAAATTCATTACAGTTCAGCCAGTAGAAAGTCAACCTTGATACCAATTTATTTTAAAATTATTGTTGGGCATTTTTAATCTGTTGGTTTTACGAGCCCTGAAATGTTAGAACTTTGTAATTGCTGCTTTCAGAATGGCTGTAAGAATGTTAGCCTTTCTCTTCACTTTATGTTTCTCTTCACATTATATTCAGGAAATGGGATGTTTTCCTCAAGTCCGGTCCATCTTACATGATTAGCACTCATTGGGGCCTTCAATGGCAGCAGAAACAGAAGTCAAGGCCAGGTTGGACGGGGCTTTGAGCAACCAGGTCTGGTGGGAGGTCTCCTTGCCCATGGCAGGGGGGGTTGGAACTTGATGATCTTAAAGGTCCCTTCCAATCTAAACCATTCTATGATTCAAAGTTTTAAAATCCTTTAAAATTATAGAATGCACATGTTAGAAGGCGGCCACTTTTTCTGCTAGATATGCTGATGCAAGTCATCCCCAACACAGATATCCACAGGCTCTTCTTTCATGTGCAGAAACTGGGCTGTGTTTAGTTTCTGGGGCAAATGCTACACCCCTCCCAGCCTTTGCTTGGCAGATTGGAGACAGTACCCTTATCTCCAGATCTTGGAGAAGTCTGAGAGAGTTTAAAGTTAGTTTATCAGCTAAAAGTTCTAGTTCTAGCCAGCCCTAGCAATAAGTACAATTTCACAATTTAGCTTAGAGAAAGACAATTGGGTATTGAGGAATCCACAGACCGTTGCTTCTGCTGACAAACTTACTTTTGAAACCTTCACATCAGGCTTTCCTGTGATTCCAGACAGATCAGCCCGGTCAGAAAACACATCAGTTACACCTATATTCATGAATATCTTCTTTAAGTCATAGGTGCCTGAAATCGATAGTTTTGGAATATACACTTCTATCCTCCTGTTAATTCAAAAGAAAATTATGGTAGTTACTGCAATCAAAGCATGCCTTGGAATGAAGAATCCCAAGATCCCAAGACTCCCAACTTGCTGGTGGTTCTACTGTGCTAAAATGTTAGTCTTTTCATCTGAAGAAGATGGCAACAAAAAGAAAACGGTAAGATCCCTAGAGGATGGGAAAGGAGAACATCAGTTGGGCTTTCTTGTATGATTCTGCAACACAGTCACTTGATGGGAGAGCAAGCAGCGATGGTGCCAGCATTTTTGTGACTACGTTTGCATTCTCTTTGTAGACTTGATGGTATTTCTTTTGGAATTTGCACCCCATTCCCTCTGAGGGATCGGATTGCTATGTCGCAACATTACCACTCTTAACACATTGTGCTTGAGACAAGGGAAATGGAAACACTTAATATCAATTAGAAAATGTGTGGGGAAAAAATAAAATTTCCCAGCTCACAGGCAATGTTGATTCTAATTTTTGCTGAAAGCATCAAATTGACAAATCGTTTAGTCTGTCCCTTCATACCTATTCCATTGCTTAAAATCTCCAATCAACAGCGAAGACTAGTAACTGAAAACCTGATCATAGTATTCAGACTTCGGATTTTGTCTACCTTGGATCATCAAATCAGAATTCTATATTTACCGTCTTTCAAGTGATTTTTCCCATTTAGACATGGTGTCTTTTGTCAGGGCATCTTCCAACTGTTTCATTTTTCCTTTATTGGGCAGGATAAACAACGCTGCAACATCTCCCTTGTAAGGAATCTGCACCACCTCACAAGACAGCTTCCTGTCAGAGTATGTTTTATAAAATCCATCTCGAGTCATCATATTCACTTCAACTGAGGTCTTCACATTCACATGGAAATAATCCTTGTGAGTCCTCTTAATATTGAAAGGATTTTCCCAGTAGGCTTAAAACCAAAAGAGAAAGAATGCAATCAAATGCTTATTTAAAGGAGGATACATTAATATAGTCCAGACTAATGTACACCAAATAAATCCTTATCTGAAGATTTACACTCATATTTGAAGATCAGAGGTATTCCAGGTTTATTAATGATCTTGTTTCCTGTCATCTTTGCTGTACCGTGTTCAGAAACAACTAAATATCCCAGGTTAAATTTCATATGGCCTTGTGCAACACCTTGCCAAGTCAGATCAATTAAATAAAGTGACTTCATTGTATTACCTTAAGTTTTATTTGAAGAAAATGAAAGCTGACCAGGATCCAATAAGTTACGTTCAGGTTTCAGAATATTGCTTGTAAAGCAAGTTCCACAGCAGATGTCTGCCTTTTAAAAGGTTAACATGGTAAGCTCCTTCCATGCTTCTTCATATGTAGCACTAAGCACATCTTGTAGCACTAAGGAAAAGCTTACATGCAAGAACAACCCGAACTTTTGGGCCTGATCATAGCTGCATTACAGTTAATGGAATAGGGCTTCAAGGGCTTTAATCTTCAGAATGGTTTTCTCTTAATGTTTATTTAACTGAATTTTCTATGGTATTTTATTTTGTATTAAATCAGGTCATTCACTGAACAAATACACAGGGATCACAGGTTGTCATTCTGTAAGTGTATTCTTTTTTTTTTTTTTAATATTGAATAGAACAAATAAAACTGAAAAATAAATAATGGAATATAAACTCCGCAGTACTCTGATTACTTTATAAGTTTGAGCTTTCCTCCCTGCCCCACCAGTAAAAAAAATATACTCCAGTATCACAAAGAAATGCCTGAGACTAGGGCACCTGAGGCTAGGTACCCAAATTTAATGAAGTATTTTAAATGTGTGGCTGAAAGTTCATCTATTTCCGAACATGCCTTTCTGGGTGGTAAATTCCATGTACGTTCTCTGTGCTGCTACAAATGGATATAACATCTAAGAACAAGTTAATCATTGCCAAAGCAGTGCATTCGCAAGTACCTCTTGGGATATGTATAATGTGATGACAAGCTGTAGAACATTTAGACTCCAACTCCAGAGGTACCTACTCATTTAATAGACATGGACAGTAAGTAAATTAAAGTGTTTGGCACTTTTTGTTAATCTGCATCTTTGGAATTTATGTTCTTACTTCATGCAGCATGTGAAAACATTGTAAATTTTTAAATAATATGTAGAAAACATCTGACAGAAATATTTAAAAATGCATATATATGTTGTGGTCTGGCAATTCCTTAAAAAATGAAGATTGCAAATAAACAAACTTTTATGTTTAGGAGCCTAAATATATGCTAGAAAAATTTAACTGTGGAAGAGCTTTCAAAGCATGAGAAGTTTCAGTGTTCCTTATCATAACAGTCTAATCTTAACACCGGCCTTTCTTTTAAAAATAAATCAGAAATAGTCTGGGGCATTTTTTTTAGTGCAGGTGAAACTGAGGTACTGCAGTAAGTAACACCTATGTAACTTACCTTTGAAATAAATGTAGTTAATGATTACCATTAGAGTGTTTGGATCGAGGTCTTTAAGTATTTGGTTTATATTCCCATGGGTTTTGTTCTTTACATGTTCATTGATCTCTTTTTTAGCCTCAGTGGAATTCTGGAAGTTACTAGAAACAACTTTTCCTTTGTACAATTTTTTTATGTTTTTCAGAAATGTTTTCAGTGGTTTCAGGTGTTTGTCCATGAACAGGGTGTTCCCCATGCTCAGTTGCATC